AAGAAGTATTTCCTTTTGTCCTTTCTGAATCTATTGCCCATCCACTGGGTGCCTCTAAGTTGCAGTATTATGGGAGAGGGAGAAAAACCTCCCTCTGCTTACTTCCTTCACTCCATGCATAATGTCAGAGGTCATTTCCTGCAGGAGCGCACAGGAGCGGAGCTCCGGCTATAAAGAGCCCAGGGGGTGGGCACATGCAACAAGCCCCACCCCCTGCTCCCAGCAGCCCTCAGTCAGAGCAAGAAGCAGGCAGGTAAGTTGCAGAGCCCCCCCCCCCGGTCCCCCGGTCCAAAACAGTCCAGTGGCACCTTTAAGACCAAGTTTTATTCAGGTACAAGCTCTCCCTCCTCTGCAAGGACAGAACTGCACGTTTCCCCCCCTCCCATAGCTAGCAATCCAAAACAGTCCAGTGGAGCCTAAGCGGTGGGTGTTGTCTTCTGCCACAGGGGTTGTGGTGTATACAAATAAGTTATGCTAATGAGTTGTGCTAATGAGCTCTTGTACCTCTTTTTCTATGAAATGACCCCTGCCTAATGTTATAAACCTCTATAATATTCTCCTTTCAGTTGTCTTTTTTCTAAACTGAAAGTCTTAGACTCTTTGGCTTTTCCTCACAAGAAAGGTGCTCCTCTCGATCATCTTGTCTGATTCTCGTCTGTACTTTAGTCAGCTCTGCAGTTACAAGTAGCCCACCATTACACCTGACTGAACTGAGAACATAAAGGCCAGTTCTACCGCCAGGTTCTCAGAATGACTGACTAGATGAGATTTGTGACCTTTATCCAGGATCAAGTTATAGCACACAGCAACAGAGAGAAACAACAAGAAGAGAAGCAGCAAGCTTCCTTCATGTCTGTTCATTATGGGAACAGGACATCAGATTATTGGTGCCAGATTAAGGTTTTAATGAGAGTCATCAAACTAGGAGGCTAGAGAACAGTTGGACCTCATGTTAAGCCAGTAAAGAGTTCTGTCTCTGAGCCCTCTCTGTGTTCAAGAATCTATAGTTAAATTATTTTTAAAGCTCAAGAATGTTGGGTCACCAACAGCCTTTACAATATAAAAGGCCCTATTTCCCCAAGCAATGTTTTTACAGAACTCACAACTCTCTGTTAACAAGACCTGCAGGATGTTCACCTTCCTGTCATTCCCAGGGAACAGAGCAAGGCAACGGCTTGGCATTATTTTTTTTTTATTTATTTATCACGAGGTCCAACCAACTGAGACAATTTCAAACAACTTTGGGAATGTATGCTAAACATTGCATTAGGAATTGTTATGAAAGAATAATTCATTCCTATCCCATCAAACCACATGTCCCAAACTGGGTATGGAAAGCTTTCTTCACTTAGAGAAATAAAAACGTTATACGCAGACATATGGCACAACAAACAGTCAGCAGGTGGTCCACTTGCATCAGCCATTTCCTTCTACTCTCATTCGACAGAGTTCTTTAAAACTCAAGAGAGTGGTATAATTGTGCCAATTCTGTGTGCAACTGCATATTTAATTTAGTGCATCAGTACTCAATGTATGTATGGCGCAAGCATCGCAAGTGGCACAGAGAATCAATTTTTGTGTTACATCTAAACAGGGATTATTACTGTGATAAGTGTGCTAAACGAAATAAAACAGCATTCCATTTGACTGTAACGCGCCCGAAATGAATTTTCTACTAGCAATTGTGCTTTGTTATTGACCTATGAAGAAAAAATATGTGGGTTCCGGCCATGGCAGCGCGAATGGCGGTCGCTCTCTCGGGGTGCTCCTGGAGACGATCAGCCCACACGCAGCTTGGGGGGGAATCCGCACAAGCGGAGACCCTAAGGAGCTTTAGGTAAAGGTTCCGAAACAGGGGGCGCACCGGGGAGTAGCCTCTTTACCGACCTGAAGTTTGGGAAATTGAAGCTTTCCCCTTGCCCCGCCGGCCCCGCCGCGTTGTGCCCCGAATGAGGACCTAGCAACGCCACCGGACCATCGGAGTGGTAAAGCAATGAAATAAAAACTAGAGAAGACGATCGGCTACAAACTGTGAGTTGACAATCGAAAAATAAAAAGTTTTTAAGCGCAACCCCCCCCCCCGATTGAATAAGCGCTTGAGCGGAGGGTGGAGTGCCCCCCCAATAGAAAGAGACTGTTTTAATCGAGAGAAGAGGGGGAGGGTGAAAAATTGAAAAACGGAAGTTACCTTTTGGGAGATTTTTAAAAGCGAACTAAAGGGAGTGATTCCCAAGCTGCGAGGCACGAACTTTTAAAAAGTAAACAATAAAACAAAGATGTCGGGGCAAAATAAACTCCCGGACAAGCAGACGAAGAAGCTGATAGGAACTTCCGGGTCTAGTGCCCGCCTTGGAGAGCAGGCTGTCAATCAACAAGAAAGCGAGATGCTTCGCCCTCTACTGGACCAAATGCAGAAAATTAACCAAACGTTGCTAAGCATGGAAAGTGCCCTTAGTAACCAACAGAAACAATTGACTGATACAGCTAAGAAGATGGAGGAAATTGCACAGAAGTGTCTGGTATCAATGGAGGACACACAAAAAATCAAGAAGGTCAATAAAATGGAAAAACATCAAGAAATACAAGACAACAAATTATTGATGTTACAAATGGAAAAATCTAATTTAACTCTCCAACGAGTGCTTTGGCACCACTGACTGGCAGGGAAGCGGATAAAATAAGCGAAGAGATGGATTTGGCCTACAGAGCCTACTCCAACTTTACAAAGAAAAATAATCTGCCAGCAGAAGTGGTAGTCAAGTTTACTAAGCAGCGTACCAGAGATCAAATTTTGAGAGCGACATCTGCAACGCCTTTGAAGATTGGAGAGCAAACTATAAGAATTTTGAAAGATGTTCTATTTGAAATTCGTATGAAGCGGAAAGCTTATAAAGGACTGACCACATTCTTGCGAACTCATCAAATCAATTATAGATGGTTGATTCCAGAAGGACTTATCTTCAAATTTGAAGAGAAAAGAGAGAAGATTGACTCCATCTTCAAAGCTCAAGACTTTTTGAAGAGGCATGCCAGTTCAGAGGAAGAAGCAGAACTCGCAAAATGGGAGGTACTTAGCGGAGAAGAAGACAGCGGCTCGGAGAGGGAGGAAAAGAAACCGGATGAAGAAGGAGCAGCCAAAGGTCCATCTTATAACCTGAGAGATGTAAAAGGAAGAAACCCCAAGACTTGAGGATTTGTTCGGAGAGCGCATTAAAGGACTATATTAACCCAAAAGGACACTACTAATATTACTAAAAATTTTGTTATTTACAGGTCAAGATGAAGGACAATCAGTCAAACACAGAAGAAGCCAAAGAATTTACTGTTACTAATAAAAGATTAACTTACTAATTAAGATACCACTCATCACTTTTCTTAATCCCGCTATATACCTTTCCTTTTTCTGAAAATTTTAAAGCATTAAAATTCTCTCCTCTTTGAGAGAGTTAACTATAAAAATATATGTATATGTATATGTGTATATATATATATGTGTGTGTGTGTGTGTGTGTGTGTGTGCGTGTGTGTGTGTGTGTGTGAGCATCAGGCTTCATTTCTACTCTTATAGAAGAGATAAAAAACTGGAAATTAACTATAGAATCTTGTTCAGAAGAAAGAACGGTGAAACAACACAGGACATTCTGAAGCACGTCATTAATATCATTTGCTTCGCTAAAAACCACTTCTGTTTAATTGAAACTGACTGTATTTTTGTATTCCAACCTTGTAAAAAAAGGATATCACTCTAACTTATTTAAACAGCATATAATTTCTGATTTTTGCAGTACTGTATTATTTAGTTTAGAGCACTTATCACAGTAATAATCCCTGTGTAGTGTAATATCCATATACTGTGTACCATACTCTGCTTAATTCCATTACATCTAAATAGGAGCATGACAGCCCCTAACCTATAGTAGAGGTAGACCGGCTGACGTGCCTGTTCAGTACTACACTGCTTGCTTGTGAGCCCAACAGACTAGAGGCAAAATCACCCCAATACGTAGGAGGCCGCACACTAAAGCAGCAGCATCTCATATTTTGGACTGGGCACATGGCACCCTTGTCAAAAGGATTGGCTACCACTAATTTAGTCGCAGATTGCTTCACTATTAATTGCACTGGTGAGCTGCCCTTTGGAATGCAACTGTCTGGAACCTTCCTGCATTGTGAGAGCCCACCTCCAGACCTACACTGCAAAGTTCCTGCGTGCCTGGGCAGAAGTTACAAACAAGGCTGAATGGTGGAGTCCAGAAGAACATGACCACGGAAACAGCTTTGGACAGTGCTGGCTCTTCGGCTTGGAAACGGAGATGAATACCACAACCCTAGAGTTGGATTCAACCGGCTTTCGAGCAAGGGAAACCTTTACCTTTACCTTAGATTATACTGAATGGAGGAGACAGTGAGAAAGGAGGCCTTCTTGGACAGATACAGATTGACTCCTGTAAGACCTTTGATTGAGAAAAACCAGTCCTGTCAAGCAACTAGAAATGCATATGGGACCAGGGAAAGGCCAGCAACATCTGTCAAAAGACAGCAGAATTAAGGAAGGTGTCAAGAACAACTGGAAAGGATGCAACTGGGGGTAAATATTGAGGGAATTTACCCACACAAAATCTCACTGGCTGACCAGAGCACAGAAACAGGGCAGGGGGGATGTGGCTTTCAGAAGCATCTGTACAAAACTGTTGGGAACAAGGATGGCCTTTCAAAATTAAGTTTCAAATCTAAGTTTCAAATATGCCCTCAAAATATCGATACTATCTCAGAATGAAGGCCACCCCTTCCAATAAGATATATCCGCCTCTCTACAGGGAAAGCAAAAACAACTGCTAAGGCAAGTGACGTGTTAAGGACAGGCAACAAGGACAGAGAAAAGGGAAAACAGGGAATGAGACCACAGGTCTTTATTGACAGACCCACCAGCTCTGTGCCTGTTGCAAAAACAGCCACCCCAAACACACGTAAAATGTCACTTTCCCCTCCTCTAGTCTCACCTTGTAAGGCGGCCGCTGTCCTTTCCTGCCCGCTCCCTGTGGCAAGAGCCAAGAACACAGATGTCACAAAAAGAAGAAAGGGCCGCTTCGCAGTCATTTTGGCTTATCCACAAGTAGCAGCCTGCAAACTGGGGGGGGAAAACACAAGGGAAAAGCATTACCTTTCCGGAGTCCCCTCTTCCAGATTCAGACAGAGACTTCCAAATCTTGAGACTTCTTGTCCTTCCTTCCCGTCTGCTCCCTGATCTTAGCCATGTTCATCACATGACTATCCAAAAGACTGGCGTTGCCTGTTTAATGTCCTTTCCCCTCTCTTACTGTTCAGTTCTCTGTCCTTTAACGGCTTGTTCCGTTCCCACCCCCAATCACAGCCTTCCAGGCCTGCACTAGAGAGCGCCGGTGCCTCCCACCTGCTATCATTGCTCCTCCTATCATTCCACCTGCGTGCAGTGGGGAAAAGGAAACCAGCACACTTAAAATAAATAAATAAATAAAACCCGCCCAACCTGTTGGCAGTAAAGCAAGCGACCGGGAGTTTCCTCAGCACAGAGCTGGGAGGCAGGTTGCTCAAGAGCTGTGCAGCTGTGAGACTTGCCGCTCTGTGGCACCGAGCCAACCATCCCCGAATCCTGCTGCAAACCTGCTACCACAAGGTCAAAAACAGGTAAGCATACCTAGCCTTGCTGGGGGGGGGGGATGCTTTTCCCTGGGGGTAAAAGCTGAGACTGCAAGGCAAGGCCAGACCTGTGCAGCTACGCCGTGCCAACGAGGAATAGTACCGAATCCAATGACAACACCAAAAGACTCTAAAATATATATTTGCAACACATGCAGGAAAAAATTACACATTCAGAAAAAAGTCTATTATAATAGGCAATCCTTCCTGCTAATGCAGTAGTGTTGAGGAGAAGCTCCACTCATGGGTGATTTCAAGAAGCAGGATTCTGCTTCCCTGCCTGGAATAACCCATTTGTCCCCGGGTCCTGCATTCAAAATCAGTGCCTAATTAATGAATTGCTGACTTACATGAACATGCATTTATTTAGCACAACATCCTAAACACACTGGCTGCGTGAGCCACATCCTCAGGGATATCAGGGGTCATTTCCTGCGGCAGCGTACAGGAGCGGAGCTCCGGCAGTAAAGAGCCCAGGGGGCAGGCACATGCAACAGGCCCCGCCCCCTGCTCCCAGCAGCCCTCAGTCAGGCCACGAGGAGCAAGAAGCAGCCAGGTACGTTGCCGAACTTCCCCTCCCCCCGGCCTGCCTTCAGGTACAAGCTCTCCCTCCTCTGCGAGGACAAATCTGCACATTCCCCCCTCCCCCATAGCTAGCAATCCAAATCAGTCCAGTGGAGCCTGAGTGGTGGGTGTTGCCTTCTGACACACATATGCAAATAAGTTATGCTAATGTTATACTAATGAGCTCCTGCACCTCTTTTTCTATGAAATGACCCCTGAGGGATACCTTACCTATTTTATGCAATCTTGAACATGCGTTCCTACACAGCCAAAAAAAGACCTATGACATTCAAGTGTGCCAAGACGAGAAAATCCAAACCACGGCCCTCATGGGCAATGCTCCCTCTAAGCTGTGGAGTCTTGTGAGCAAAAATTCTACTTTGTGAGCTACTGGCATTAAAGTTGTGAGCGAGCGATTTGGTTACTGCATAAATTTGTTTGCTCCGGAGCCATCCTTCCTGAGCTAAGACAAAAATGTGTGAGCTGGAGGCTAAAAAACTGTGAGCTAGCTCACACTAACTCAGCTTAGAGGGAACACTGCTCATGGGGGTAAACAAAGAAAAGCTAAATAATAATGGACAACGGAATAGTACTCCCATTGACGCCTCCTCTCCCTGTTTCATAGGCTCAGACTACACAGAGCTACTGGTCACCAAGAGAGACAAGCAGGCATCTAACTTTCAAAATGCAAAATGCTTTACTGTAATTATGTCAACAATTTTGCCAAGGTGGGGGATCTCTGGTTTTGTGAATAGGACTAGGATTGTACAGTGTTGCCACATTCCTTTGCCCTGCCCACATCTGCCTTGGGCAAGACCTCACACAGTGATGCTAAAGTGTACTGAGTTCACACTAGTGCAATATTATGGGTGTTCTGCTGTAACACGTGTATTTATAATTTCCTTACATTTTTTTCCTGATTGACAGATGTAGAGATAACTTAGTTTTCTCTTTTTTTCTACTTACCAACTCAGGTCAACACAGTATTTGACAATTGTTTGTTTTTAGGTCTGTTGTGTATGTAATGTGATGTATTGTAATGGAATGAATGTAGTGAGCTTGAATCTGAAAAGGCACTGTAAGTAGACCTATCAGAACAAAGGAAGTTCTGGAGGGAAGCAAAGTAATTGGTCTTTATGTACAGTATGTGATTGGACCTTATCTGACTTGTGGGTGTGGCTTGCCAAGCCCGGACAGTTTAAAAAGGAGCCTGTTGTTCCATTGATTTGTCTTGTTCTGTTTCTTCTGACTTCGTGTTCAATAAAGCTGTTAATCACTGTTCACCTGCTGCCTGAGTCTCATATCTAACAAGGTCCATTCTGTATATAATGAGTTTTAACTTATAGAGTGCTCAGCATAGATTACCACTGAGGAAGGCTTTTTAGCCAAAATGTGTTTGGTTCTCGTATCTGCAGACATTTTGTAACTTTTTAGCTGTATTTATATATTTTTATATTTGTCCTGGTGTTGGGTATACGTATATACAGAACCTTAGATGTGTGGTTTTTATTATGGTTTTAATATTTCCTATACATAATCAAAACATAGTGTATTTTAGTACTGCATGTTTAGCTATATTAGATTATTGGTTTTGCCCTAATTTCCTTGGCTGCTTTTCCTGTACTGGGTTGGTTCCCCCCCTCCCCCTCCCCTTTTTTGGATTTGTTTGCTGTAATATATACCAGAGATCAAAATGTTGCTCCAGCACCACATTCTTTTGCTTCCTCCTGCTTGCTTTTTGCCTTGAACAAGAGACCACAGGCACAGGCCACTTCTCTTAATATCTTGTTTCCCAGTCAGTATAATAAGAGCGACTCAGTGAGAATAATAGATTCCAAAATGTTATACAGAAGCCTGTAATTGCCTTTCAACCATTATCATATAGATGAGTAGTCCAACTCATCATAGCTGGGATGCTGCTGCATACAATGGCATAGAAATGTTCAGATTGTTAATTTGTTGTACGCTCAGAACAGTCTATCTTTCTGTTTTGTCTGTAACGTAGAATGCCTGTGATCTCCAAGAAGCTGCTCCTGGCAAATTAGCGCGAACATATCTTCTGTTCAATATATAATGTATCTTCTTTAATGAACACACTCATTCTGCTGAGTCATCTAATTAAGCAATTGGGGAGAGGGTACAGGTAATTTACTTGTCAACATTAATCAAGAAGACACTGATTAAAGGTGGATGACACAGCTCACTTGCATTTACCAGTTATCACACAGGCAACTCTGTGGTTAGTTCTGGCAGCATTTTAAACTGGAGGGTCAGATATGTCACACCTGGCAGGTTTTCGGTTTGCAGCTTACATCATATACAATTTTTCTATCCTTTTTCCCCACTGAGAGGAATGCAAAGCAAGGACTGTTTATATACCCGTTCTTTTCCAATAAGATATCCAAGACAGCTCACAAAAGTAACATAATCATGTAAAACAAAAGTAAAACCAGGAGTCATTTCCTGCAGGAGTGCACAGGAGTCGAGCTCCGGCAGTAAAGAGCCCAGGGGGTGGGCACATGCAACAAGCCCCGCCTCCTGATCCCAGCAGCCCCGGGCCACGAGGAGCAAGAAGCAGCCAGGTAAGTTGCAGAGCCTCCCCCCCACCTGCACTGAGGTGCAGAGCCCGGGGAAGGCCTCCGGAGCCCTGCCACCCACCTTTCCTAGCACCTGTAGGGTGGGGGCTTGGTGGGGGCTTGATTGGGGGGGTGGGCCATGGGGATCTGCGAGGGCAGATCTGCACATCCCCCCCCAATAGCTAGCAATCCAAAACAGTCCAGTGGAGCCTGAGCAGTGGGTGTTGCCTTCTGACACACTTCCAGTGATGTCAGGGGGTGCGGCATATGCAAATAAGTTATGCTAATGAGCTCCTGCACCTCTTTTTCTACGAAATGACCCTGAGTAAAACAATAATTAAAATCAATTATGAATTTCTGCAAAAGAATCAAAATCAGAGAACCGGCAGCAATAATAATCAAAGTAAACCAAGATTAAGGGGTCGCACCAAAATAAATAAATCAGCTTGACTTTAAAAAATAAATAAATCTATGGTCCCTCTAAGGTTGCCAACCTCCTGGTGGTGGCTGGAGATCTCCTGTCATTACCACTGATCTTGAGGTGGTAGAGATCAGTTCACCAGGAGAAAATGGCCACTTTGAAAGGTGGACTCTGTGGTATTATATCCCCTTGATGTCCCTCCCCTTCCCAAGCCCCACCCTCCTCAGGCTCCACCCCCAAAATCTCCATGGATATCTGAACCCAGAGAGGGCGACCCTAGCCACCTCTCCAGAAAACTTGTTTGAGGCCACACAAAAAATCAAACGTAATAAAAAGCAACTAAAAAGCCCACCATGAAAACCCCAACCAGATCATAAAACAGCATAAACACCGAGCAGTTTAAAATGAGTCTCATAAAACAGTTCTTGGGCTAGAAGCAGACTATAAAAATTATGTTAAAACAGCAACACCTTAATTAAAAGCGGAGGTAAAATAAATGTTTTGTCCTGGCACATCAAATAAGATGTGACAAGTGAGGACCCACAAAAAACTGATGTGTGAATTAAGGCCAGTTCCAGTTGTGGTGGACCATACTGGCTTGGCCAGTCATAAACACTATGCTTCCTTTCTATGAAATTTTCACATTTAAAGAAATAAAACTTCTGAAGAAACAGGATGTTTCATAATTGTGGAGTTTTGTTTCCCCCCACTTAGAGGTGATAGGAATAACTTTTAATGGGGTTCACCTCCCCTGGGCTTAGAGTTATACCCTAAACTAATTTCATAAAACCCACAGCTTCAGAAGTCATAAAATATTTCCATGTATACGGCCCATCAGTACAGCATCTAACTATTATGGGCACTAATGCTTGCAACTATCCTACCTCACAGGAACCCAAAAGGACACTTTTCAGGAAATTTCAAGATATAGTTTATTCACTGGTATAAT